CAGTGATAATACTGCTTTCCCAAACTTGTCATCTACTTTGGCAGCTAAATCCAATTCATAATACGTGACAAAGAGCAGTGGGGGTTACTCCATGTCGATCTCAAATTGACACACTTTTTAAATAGGCAGGAGATAATTGCTTGAATTCTGGTGAAGTGCCTTGATGCTCAGTGGAGAAGTACATCTACCAAATAGTAACAGCAAGATGCACAGAGTTATCCATTTCAGTATCATCTGGGATGAACAGTATGAACACCCAACTATGGCTATAAATAAGTAGGAGAAGACTCTGAACAATTTGGTTCTATAAACATAAAAAGTGAAATCCTGGGTGCATTTTCTTGGTTTACTTTTTCTCCCTGTGCCAAGTGTATCTTTGCAAAGAGGACCAGGTTGGTTGACTGATCTAGAGGACAGACCTGGAGTTTATTCCTAACGTGATGTGATCTCAGGACCACCTTTTCTCTATAGGATTAGGCCAAAAGTGCCTCAAGCACCTTCACTCTCCAGGCTCAAGTAATGGCCATCAACTAGATTCTCTTCAGAGAGACAAAGGATAGAAAGCTGTCTGACAGATTCAAAAGCAATTGCCAGGAGTTTCAAAAGTACTAGATGGACATCTTAGACAAGAATATGTTCCTCTGATCAGTGGATTAAGTATGACAGAATGAGAAAGGAGAGCACAATTGTACAGGTGTCCGGCTAACTGACATTGTATCAAGTGCACCATAAGCGAGCCAAATTAGAGGCATGTTTGTTTTAAGTGCAGTAAGTAGTCGAAGATCTGAGGTACCCAAGGCATTATCATCTAAACAATTTATGAAGATACCGATCAGGTATTCAAGAGGTGCTGATCTCCCAATATCCAGTCTCTGCTTTAACAATGTCCGCCCCATTTGCAGATATTTTTGAAGTGCTGTAGACTCAGTAAGACCCAGATTCAGCAAGATACTTATGCATACGTAGTTCCAATGTACTCAAGAAAGGACAGGTGTGGGGAAAGCCTGGCTTACTGCACATGGTTTTGTAAACTATTATTTACACTGCCATTGAAACCCATGACTATCAAATAGAAAGAAGAGAAGTATTTAAGAAAAATAATTTGATACAGTATATTTATGACTTTACCTTTTTGTTCCCACTCTGTGGTTTGGGGCAATATCAATTGTGTCTGTAGCTGAATCATGTCTTACTGCTAATCCTAAATCTGCAATACAGCATGTCCCATTCTTTTTTACCAATATATTTTTTGATTTCAAGTCTCTATGAGCAATGGCTGGTTTTCCTGCATAAAAAAAGAAAAAGAGGTAGAAAGAGCAAAAAGCCAATCAAATCCCTACTGTTAACTAAAGAATATTTCCGAAAAATCGCTACTACATATTCTCACACTAGTCAGGAGTTCAAGATTTTGAAATTATGAATCAAAGAATCACATTTGTATCTATAACGTAGATGCCTGATGTTTCATTGAAACCCTTTTTGAAGGGAACAGAACGATATGCTATATTGTTAGAACACCAGTGATCTGACAATTTTTACATTAGTTAATATGATCACTATATTCTAGGAATTTTGCAGTGATTTCTCTACCGCTGAGTGGAAAGTGTAACTAGAGTCAAACATTTATATTTGTACAGTCGTGACTACAAAACAATAGTTGAATAAACAGAACATTACACTGAACTAGGGATGATAAATTTAGTGTATCGATTATTTGATTATTCGATAAGGCCGCCTCCACCTTTGAAGCGTAGCAACAGCCTCTAGGGCTGTTGCTACACTTCAAAAGTCTAGCAGAATTACCAACACTTCCATTGCTTACTGGGCTTTTAGAGGACATTTAGGGGCAAATTAGAGCTAAATAACAGCACAGAAGACTTGAGTTCAGGCTGGTGGCTGTAAAACTTGACCATGGGAAGCTTGGCCACACCCAGAAAAGTGGGCATCTGGCTTACTAAAATAATTTGTTGATGGATGTGTCTGGACAATAGAGTTCTGGATTAGAGAAGTTCAACCTGTATTTTGTTGAAATTCTTGGGAAGCTTTCTACACAGGTAATTTTGACAAAAGAGATTAAATTGGACTTCGTTAAGACACCAATTTATAACTTTCTTCATCTTCAAATCGTGACACACACCAGTACAAATATGTATCAAACAATTAATTCTCTGTGGGTAGTGCTTATGTTTTCAGTAGCAAGACTATCTTCCTTTATATGAAGCTTCATTATACAAGCCATCTAAGACCATATACTTATAATGAAAATGTTAATTAAAAATAAAAAGAAATGGAGACCACTTTGAAATAATTTCAGGCTCATGTTTATTGGGATATGAAACATGAGCCACAATCTGTGTTCAAAAGCATATGAAGAAAGTTCTAGGATTTATGAAAAATCCAACTCCTTCAGTGGTAAGATCATAGTTTATCAAATACTGAAAACTGTGTCCTTTTGTTGCGAAGAATATTCTTTCCCCAGATTAAACAAAAAGCATTTACAGAGCAACTTTAATTACTTTTTCTTATGTTTCTGACAAATAGGTACGATAGCAAATATCTCAAAATAAAAACATTAAGCTCTTACATTTGGCCACTTGAGTCACAAGCCTGTAGCACTGTGTGTATAATGAAGACTTTTATGTGAGAGAATTCACTAAGATCTATTATATACAGTACTGACATTTTTGAACACTTCATTGGTTTTAATATATTCCACTCACTGGAGATTAGTGTGAACCTAATATACTTGAGCTGGGACTTTTGCTCAGCAGTAACCCTCAGAGAGATACAAGAACCCTGAGTGTTTTTATGCCTAACTGAAAGACTAAAGGACAGGATCAACTCAACCCCTCTCCCCATACAGTTCCTTTGCACTTAACTCTTGCCAATACTAGAAGGAAAGGACAGCAACGTACATCACAAAATGCATGTACACAAAACATCCTGAACCACAAGTTCTTTAAAAGGAAGTAACCATTTCTTTGAGTTTGTACAAATATTTGAGTTTCCCAAGCAGTATGCTTTAAGTAGATTTTAAATTCCTGCCACAGTGAGTGTACAATTAGGGATGTTTGATAATTTTTATCTGAGTAATTGCTAACATTCCACGTGGTTACACAACTATTTGATGCTTCCAGCCCCACTCCCGGGGAGACCCCCCTGCCACCTCACACTGCTGCCTCTATATCATGAGGGGGCAGGTGAAAGCTGGTCCACTAGGGAAACCAATTTAAAAACCAGCTCCCCGTGCAGACTGGCTCCCTGCTGCCCCACACCACTACCTCTGATACAGAGGCAGCAATTTGAGATGGCAGCAGCCCCTGTCCACAAGGGGTCTAAGCTCCCCATGTACAGAGTCTAGAATGTACCTATGAGCCATATGGTGCTGCAAGTGTGCAGCCCAGCCTGTCAGGGATGCATCTGTCATCATGGAAACACATGGTTCTGCAGTGAGGAACATAACACTGGAACACAGATTTTTTTTTGTATCAACCACCAGAGAGGAGACTTCACTGAGAGTGGGATGATGAAGGACTTTGTTAATGGATGTTGGGCTTGTAGACGGTCCTGAGCCACTCCTACAGGCACCTGATGTGCAAAGGAGCATTTTTGATGACAACGTTGCAAGCTGCCATGTGGCCTATTAACTAAAGGCAGTCATGAGCTGTGATTTTGGGAGAGAAGTGCAGTGTCCTGACCAAGTTCACAATGTTCTGAAAATGATCCAGAGGGAGGGGAACAAGTGCACATGTGGAGTCGAGGTATGCCCCTATGAACTGCATCTTTTGAACAGGAATTTGACTTGTTTTTGTTCATCTGTAGACCAAGATGTCGGAAGACTTGTCTTGTGATGGAGAGGGAGCCTCGAGCATCGGATTCAGAGTGTGCTTTGAGGGGATAGGTGTCAAAGTAAGGAAATAGGATTACAAGTTCTTTCCTTGGGTATGCCATAACAACTGACAGCACCTTTGAAAAAAAACTCTGTGGGCCGTCAAAAAGCCAAATGCTAGGACCTTGTACAGGTTGTGTTGGGTACTAAGAACAAAGAGAAGAAATAGTGTATGAGCAGGATGAATGGAAATAGGAGTCTTGTACAGGGGTGGGCAAAAGGGCCTCCACGGGCTGGATCCAGCCTGCCAGAAGGGTTGATCTGGCCTGCAGAGGCCCTGCCGCTCCCTTGCCCCCAGGCTAATTAGGGTCCGGGGGAGGAGGGGAGAGAAGTGCACAAATTTCCTCTACATGCGCTCTTTGAAGCACTGTGCACTCCTGGCAGAGTAGGAGGAGGCTTTGCACACTCCCCCGCTCTGATTGGCCTGGGGGTGGGGGAGCACGGGAAGTCTCCTTCCACCACCAGGTTTGTTCTTAAGTTGAATTTGTAGGTATGTAAGTCGGAAGCAGCTCTGCCTCGGGCTTCCTGTACTCAGCCGCTGGTCAGTTTCAACAGTGGCTGAAACTGGACGCCAGTTCCGACTTACATACAAATTCAACTTAAGAACAAACCTACAGTCCCTATCTTGTACGTAACCCAGGGACTGCCTGTAACCCTCTTTTGTGGTGGTGCTGGATTTCAGCACTGGAGCCGCTCTCGGCACCGGAGAGAAGAGCTTAGGAACTGGAGTCTAAGGTGGAAGCGCTTTTTCTGAGGATTTTTTCTCCTTTTGTGCATGGGGTTTCTTGGGTTGCTGACCCACATCTGAAGCTGGTTTTAACAACTTTTGAGCACAATCAGCTTGAGGCACAGATCTGTCATGCTGTGCTCTGGCTTCAGATTAGCACAGTTAAGATGTTTCAGTGCAACATGTGCCTCTCAGAGGCAGTGGATACGTTGAGTGTCCGTCCAAGACAGGAATAGGATCCTTACATGAGGAACATCACTTAAAACTCAGAAAGCTGGTCATGGTATGGGCTAGTGTTTCTCAACCTTTTTTTTTTTATAAAGTACCCCTTTCAAAAAACAAACAAAAAAAATGATAACTACTCCCAGTACCTACAGTTTTCAGACAGTTATTTTCTACCATTGCAACACATTTGTTTAAAAAGTAATCGTAGCCAGGCAGGCAATGCAATATTTGAGTGTAAAACGTACAAAAATAAAGCACTGTAAAACACCACAAAAAAACCCTTAGTTTTCTCCAAATTTCAGTTGTGTTGACGTATTCCCCCAGACTTCTCTTGAGTAGTACTCATACCACTGGTTGAGAAACACTGGTATGGACTAGCACTATCTATGGGGATAAGAGCCTGGAGGTTTTTTTTTTTTTTTTATAAACTAAAACAAACAACATTAATGGGGGAAATAACTAACTAAAGGTAAGAAGTATATAACGAGTTTACTGATCTAAAGCACGAGATTGGAAACATTGCTGACCTCTGTCTGTGACCGGAGGGAGTTGAGAAGGAACTGGGGGAGCTTGTGCATGTGCGACACCCGTACAATAGGTGGCTTCTTTCACCCCAAGTCTTCCAACAAGATATGGACGGATCCTCTCAATCTGGATCTCTCTCCAGGGCCCAAAAATGCTAGGACTGTGTCATCTTAGGTCAAACAGATCATGGGTCAGAAAACCTTAAATGTATTGTTCAGTGAATTGAGGGGAAGAGAGAGAAAAATGCAAGTAGTCAACTCAACTAGCCAATAAGCCTAGGCTTATGGAGGTAGTCAACTACTCTTTTACATCCCTATTCATGAGTCTTTTTGCTCAAGACATAGCACCCCTCAAAGGGGTGTCCCTCAACATTAACTTAGCATTCCCTAGGTACGTGTTATGTGGAGACAGAAAAACCTCTGCTTGGTTAAAATTGCCATGAATAGCTGCTGGATTGAGAGTTGACTGCAGTGGCTACTACCAAGCCTTCAGCCACAATAAACTTAAAAACTATTCCTCCATATCCCATTCAGTAAAGCCCAATTGTAAAGTCATATTACAATAATAGAGTCTGTTAGTGATTTTCATTTGGAGAGTAGATGTAGAGTAAGTTTACATGCCAAACGAATTAACCCTCTTATTCCTAATTTTTTTTTGTAATTTGTAATGTACTTGCTCCAATTTCTTATTCCCTACTAAAAGGGTACCTGGAGCTAAGCGATTAAAGAAATTGTTCAACCCCTCAAATGGCACCTGGTCATAACAGTCCACTTTCTTTGAAGTCTGTGCCAGAGAAATTTGACAGGGCCCAGCAATCCTTCACTGATGGGTAAAGCTATTCACATAGGACCAGCTACATGTAATATAATTAACAGTTTAAGGTTTCATTGGACAACTTTGTCAGGAAAAGTATCTCTGAAAAGGATACAGTGGTGCCAGTAAATGTACCTGGAACCCTTATAACTGAAGGTTTCAGAGGTATGATTGGCTTTGCCATTACTAAGACCACTGTTAGAGTGTTCTGCATATGAGTGTCTAGTACCAACATGCAGAGCAAGTCTCTGGCTCCCATAATTGCTGGAGGAGCTGTGCTCTTGAACCCAGTCTGATACCAGACAGCTTCTGGAGGTAGGGATGTTAGCTATCGGGTAAGAGAACAGTTGATGAACCGCATTAATTCCTAGTTGTTGGCCAACTATTCTATAAACCGGAGGGTGGGAGGGGAGGAGGAGAGGAGAGGAAGAAACGGCAGCCAGTTTAGTCTGGCCCCACCCCCGGGGAGCCCCCTGCAATCCCACACTGCTGCCTCAGTATCAAAGGCAGCAGCTTGGGGTGCCAGGCAGGAGCCAGTCCATGAGGGGAAGAGTTTAAAATAAATAAAAAAATAAATAAATAAAAAAGCGCTCTCCATGCAGACCAGCTACCTGCTACTGCTTCTAATAGAGGCAGTAGCATGGGGTAGCAGCAGCCCCTGTCCATGAGGGGGGGGTCTGAACTCCCTACAGAGACTGCGGGAGGAGAGAACAGGGGAAGTTTCCATGAAGCAGTCTCTGTAAACATGGGGGCTGTGCTTGACAGGGACACGACTGCTGGTTTTTTTTTTAAACACACACACACACACACACACACACGCACGAAGGAGAACAAAGGAAACACTATAAAAGCAAAGGCTAACTCACTATTTGCTCAAGAAAGTCTGCTGATAAAGCACAAGACAGCGAGCATGAGGCATCACTGGGACTTGCAATTATGTGCTATGAGAACAGACGGAGATGGACAACCTTATCCTTTATGCCTTCAACTGAGGACCTAAGGGAGGACAGTCAAGACCCACATACTGTCCCAACAGGTATTACTGACCAAAAGCCCATGCCTAAGCTCATGTGCACTCAACGTGCATGTACCTACAGTGGATGAAAGGACAATCTCTCATGTATATAAAGCATACAAGCATTTTAAGAACTAGGATACTGCACAAGTGTCTACGTTTTTTTTTTTTTAAACCTCTAACACAGCTTTCTAGGAATCTATTCACAGTTAATACAAGATCTGCAGATTTACCACAATTTTAAGAAATTGTCCACTTTTGCAGAAGGTTGTTTCTGCGCAACTCATGTAAAAGGATATATGTTTGTACAATTTAAATGATACCACATCAAACAGCAAAGAGACTCAAATTCAGACAAGGCCCTCCTTAATTCTCTTGATAATCTTCACTATGGAAATATAGGTCTTGAAATACTCTATTTCCTTTTAGGAACATAAGGTCATATATGAGACTGAACACTTATAAAAAGTTACCTTGTGTGCCAACAATCTCCATGTGAAGATGTGCAAGTCCACTAGCAGTAGACAAAGCAAGCTTTATCATTCCTTCCACAGTAACTGTGTACCGATTTAGGTAATCAAAGAGCGATCCATGTTCATGATAATCTGACACCAACCAGAGCTGAGTCCATGTACCATTGTCTGCAAAATAAGATATTCGCTATAAATAAAGTTGTCTAGCAAACCAAATTACTTTAAATGTACAAACTATAGAGTCTGAATGATATTTTATAAATGATTTCCCTGCAATCAGGTCATTTTGTTTTCTATTTTTATTTCAGTTGTGGCTAAAGGCCTCCTACATGGAGCTTAAATATACCAGACACTGAACAAATTCACAGACAGTCCTTAACCCAATATTAATTTATCTTTTTTAGATTAATGTTAGGTAAACAAAAAGAAACTTGCCAGGAGTACAATACGATTTTCTCAGTTTTTTCCCCTTTAAATAAATGTCCCCTCTCTAACCTACCATCTTCCCCTGCACCCAGCTGTTAGTTAACTTTTCAGTCTTTGCTCAGCCCAGTTGTCCTTTCAGCCTTAGCCAAGTCAGCCTCATTTTGGAAGACAAATCTCCAAATTACCAAAACCAAATAAAGACCTGCACTCTTGGCTGCTTCCTCTACCAACAAGGGCACATAATGTGCAAGTCTGATGTTTATCAGTCGGGGGGTGGGGGTGGGGGGGCAGGAGGGGAGAAGAGAGAGATCACACACAGCCTAATCCTGCCATTATAAATGGACAGCAAAATATGGGAGGAAGGAAATAAGGGGGGAAAACCCTCCCTTCTTATTATTGTTCTGTATTCCTGGGACTTCTCTGCCCTCGTCAAGGGCAGAAAGGTTTGGAGACAATGAAAATAAAACATGCAGTAGTATCAAAGAATTAAGAAATAGCATTCCCTTTTCTGAGCAGACAGAAGCACACGGAAGTTAGAATGCAGAACCTGGAACCAAGCAAGATGCCGCTTTTCCAGCAATTGCTGCTAGCTTGCTATATGACTCTGGGCTAAACAGCTCTACAAGATGGACATAATGCACACTCACTTTTGTAAGGTGTTTTGAGACCTAGCGATGGCATGCATTAACAAGTGCAAATTATTCTGCAACTTACTGCCACATATTTAGATCAGTGATGCTGAATACTAAGTGCATCAAACATTAAAAAAATAAAACCTACAGATGTTCTTGTATGAAAAGAATTCAGGAGTGTAAATCTTGGAACCTTCAGAAAGATGAAGCAAAGAACACCCAGCCACTGGTTCAAAGGGTGGTCCCATAACTTTAAGTACCAAGTTCATATCCCAAGCAGGTACAGGTGGACGATAATACGGATATAACTTGTCCAACTCCTTTCTAAAATGAGTTACCATGGGGTAGACAAACAAGGGATGCTGGGAGCAACCTGGGTGGAAGGTGGATACCGCTTCCAAAGGAACTTTGACGAGGGTGCTAGACCCTGTGACCATAGGTGCAGCAGGTACTCTACCCTCTCTGGAACGGGTGCCCACCCTGGGGGAGCATTCCACTTGACACACCAGTTGTGAGCCTTTTTCATTTGGCCAAATACGCCACACTGGTAGAGGGCTTTCTGTTGCCCAACAGGACCTCTTGTACCTGGACTGAGCACTGAACCTCTAGCAGATTGAACCATCTAGCTTGCATGCTTTTAGGTGGAGGGAGCACAGATCTGGATGTCTGATTCCCCGATGCTGTCTCAGGAGGTCTGGGTACAGCGGAATGGCTATCAGGGTTTCCACTGACAAGCTGAGCAGTGTGACGAACCAATGTTGGTGTGGCCATGCCAGCGCCAACAGGATTATATGGGCCCTGTTCCTGAGGGCTTTTAGGACCTGGATGTACCAAGGGAACCAGGGGAAACGAATATAGGAGGGTCCCACTGTCCCAGTGACAAGCAAATGCATCAATCATGGAACCCTGATGGGAGCGATTGTGGAATAAGCAAAAGTCTATACCCTTTGTACTCTGGAGTGGTGAACATATCTAGATGGGGAGGTCCCCACCTGTGGAAGATTGTATCACATCTTCTCTGACTAACCACTTGTGGACCATAAAGGTTCTGCGGAGGGCATCCCCCAGTGTATTCTGTAGTCCCAGTAGGTACTGGACTTCCAAGTGAATCTTGCACTTTATGCAATAGTGCCACATCACAGAGTCACAATGACCACACACGCCTCTGCTTGTTTATGTAGAACATTGTTGTCATATTGTCTGTATACACTGACCTTGTAGCTAAGGTTGGACTATCTGGCAGGCCAGTTGACTGTTCTTATTTTTTTACAGAGATGTAAAGTCTCATGTCTATGGGTGACCACAGTCCTTAGTTGCTCAGGTTGCCTAGGCTGGCCCCCCACCCCAGACCCAAAGCATCAGTCACCTCTGTGCCGATTGGTACTGTCAGTGGGGCATGCTGCACTGGTGAAGGTGGCCCCTCTGAGGAGAATAACCTTTCCCAGTACCGTTCTGTGGATAGCAGTTGATGCAGCATTGCTAGCTTCCCCCTTGAGCCATGCGGTCCCAGCACTGCTGGTGATTTTTCCTGCATCTTGGATACACCTCTGCCTCAGAGATCTCTATAAGGTGTCTCACCACACCAAAGGTGTCCAGCGTGGAGTTGTTCAAGACCTGCACTGGATTCATGTCTCGGTGCTTGGTCGTGTGCTGGACTCGATAGCACTGTTCCCGGGACCATTGTTGACAGCATGCATTGGATCTCTCACACTAGGGACTTCTGCCATGTTTGTCCCTGACTCTACCAGAGCTTACAAGGGGGAGGGAGGTGGGAGAAATCTGCCTCTGTCCTTCCTTCTGCTGGCAAGGTAGACCTGTGCCTCAGCCCTGCAGTCTTCAGCGCTGGAGAATCCTAGTGTCAGGAGTCTCTGGCTGTGCTCAGTTTCTGTGCAATATTGCGCACGAAGGCCAAAATGGTCTGTACTGAGCTGGCTCCCGGGGCAGATTTCTCATTCTGAGGGGGTTTTAGCACCACTTCCCTGAGGAGCTGTTGGAGTCTGTACTCCCGGTCCTTTCTTGTGCAGGGCTTAAAGCTTCTACAAATCTTGCTCGTTGCAGTGCATATTCTTCACCAATACTGTGGAGGCACGTGTTGTGAAGATTGCTGATGGGCATAGGTCACTTACAGACTTCACACTATTTAAAGCCTGGGGCATTAGGCTTGCCCCGGTGCCCCAGAGGGACTACAGTTCCTGGGCACTTGCCTTCTAGTTTACTCTGAAGACTCTGCTTAACGAAGATGACAATGAAGAGCTATAGCTAGACACCAGATGCTTGCTGGGGCAAGAGCTAGGAAGTTCCAATGCCACCACAGACTAAGAAGGAACTGAAGGAGATTAGGGTTGACAGTGGTATGTATGCACTGACAGAGGCACCACTCTAGGGGCTCTTCACAGCTGACCCTATGGGAGTTGCTACGGGAAAAATTTCCAACACTCGTGCATACGGTGTGTGTACACCTGCTTGGACTCAATGTGAACAAGAACTCGAAGAAGAACAGAAAGGTTTGGGGGGCAAGGAAGTGGGGGGTTGTGGGGGGCTCTGGCTGTCCTTTTCTCCACTCCTGCTAGCTCAATGAGGTTATAGTTGTCTGGGTCCCATCTCTGGCCCCTTACTTCTGTCCTGTAGGTATTCTTCAGTGTAACTGTTCCTCCTACCAGACCACTTCTTATTCGTTTTATGAGAAAATGAAATTCCAGGCATATCCCATTGTCCTGGAACAACCAAACCCTTACCTTGCTTTAAAAATTAGGATAAAAGGAAGCTGCATACCAAATTTGGTAGTTGTAGTTTTTACTGTTTAGAAGGCGCTCTTGAACAAATGGACCCCTAGATCATTGGGCAGACGGACATTTTTAAAATATATATAGGAAGAAAAAGACGACGACAATTTTATTAGATGGATGGATGGATGGATATGAAAAAAACCCCACACATCCTGAAAGTTGGGGGCTGAGAACTGATCCTCTTGCTCTGGTGATGGATTTATTTGCTGTACGTGTTACCATTTTGCTTTTTTGTGCTTCCACAAAGGTGTTGAGCCTCTCACCACTTTTTTTGAGGGGTAGGGAGAGACCAGAGTGTCCTTAAAGAGGATCAGGACAGGGAAGTTGCCAGGTGGAAGAGGAGGGAGTACTCCACCTTATAAGGAGGATCTTGAAAAATGCAGCTTGCCCATAGTGATTAAGACTCCCAAAAATTATGAAGGCAGTTGCTGAAAGGAGGGGGGGGGGGGGGGGGAGGAAAACTATTACAGTTGATTAAAAAAAAGGGATGGTAGCATAGGTCCTTGGTCACCCTGTCAAAATCGGTGCTTGGAAAGTTGTGGGGTCCAAGGTCCATAAGTAGGTGATTTTCTCTTCTTTGAAACGTTGGCTTTTGCACGGAGGTGCATATAACTCCTAAAAGCCTGAAATAACACAAAGATCTTGCCCTGCCTTATCTGGAACTTAAGCTCTCTTTTGTGCTGGGTAGGCTTAAAAATTCTTCAGAGAACATGAAGTGGCCCTAGAGTACTTCAACATGTGCAGAGATTTGTTTATGCTGTCAATACAGAGTTTAGGGCCATCAAAAAGCAATTCTTCAATTATAGGCTGGACCTCCTTCGGAAATCCCAAGAGCTGAAGCCAGGAGGCCCTCTGTATGTTCCATTTCTATAAATGTAATTACAAAGAGGGCTGCAGAGATAGTGAGAAGCTAGCCTTCTGCAAGAATTGCCTGGAACTGGCTCTGTGTTCTGACAACGAACACCAATTTATCATGTGATTAACTAAAAAATTAATTGCAGTTAATCACACAAATAGAATACCAGCTAAAATGTATTAATATCTGAGAATGTATTCTGGGTTGTAATTTAAATCAATATTGAAAATGTAGAAAAAAAGAGTATACAGTGCTCACTTTGTATTATTTTTGGATTACACCTATCCACTAGAAATGAAACAAAAGGAGGTGATTACTCACCTTGTGCAGTAACTGAGTTTTTTTGAAATGGTTGGTGATGTGGGTGCTCCACTGTAGGCATTTTGGCTCTGCGCTTATAGGCAGATTTATAGCAGCAGCACCCCATGTGGCAGCACACACACAGCACCATCTTGCAATGCTGCAAGG